CCAAACCCAAATTTATTTTCCAAAAAAACAATAAATTCATCATCAACATAAGTTGAACCTGAAAAATAATGTAGAAGATTTTTTTTTTAGAGTATAATTTAATTTTTATTTTTTTAAAAATTTTAGTTTCATTATTTATTTTAAAAGTTCAAATACCACAAAGGTCCCCACTACGTTCTGTAATTTCCGATAATTTATTTTTGGATAATAACTTTCTGACTGTCAAATCAACTGTACCACCTCCACAATCTACCACCATTAAAGTTGCTTTTTAAAAAAAATTTTTTTTGTTTAATATAATATTACTAGTTACTTTATCATTAATAACTATGTTTTTTTTTTTGAAAAATGCTTACATCCTTCACTTAACCGAAGTTCTTCCAACTTCTCCATACAGTATAATGCTGCAGCTTCGGCTATTTGTTATTTACGATTTTGAATAAAAAGGAAATGCGCATTGTCACTCAAATTTGGACTAAAAATCGAATAGTTACTTACGTTCAGTAGTAAACTCTAAATTATTCTTCGAATTTTTTGTCGTATAACCTGCTTTAAGTATACAATCTTGTAATATTCCAATTGCTTCAGGACTCCTAAAAATTACATGGGAGCATATAATATACAATCAATATATTTACATGCTTTATGAAAATTACAAGTATAAGTTCATACCATTCAGCCGGGATAGTAAAAACCAATCTTACGTGCTCAGGAAATTTTAAATTGGGCCAAATATTTACAAGAGTTTCCAAAATCAGCTACAATAATAAAATACGTTATTTTAATCGATCAATCCAATAGGGAAATCTTAGAATGCCAAAAAATTATTAACTGGTTTCATTGATTTTAGGAAGTCTGAAATTGCTTTTCGATAATCTAAGTTTGGCGGGAGATAGGGTTTGTCGGAATCTTTTAAATCCGCGAGATGCAATTTAAAACGTTCTACTGGTTTTGGTTCCGGTTTTGAAACAATCCTAATTTTTTTCCTTGGCTCTCGAGCCAATGCTTCATATCCATTTTAAAAAATCATTAAACCAAAAAGTATGAGAATTTTTAAACCATTCCAGTCCATTCCAATCAATAGTTTTGTTATTTAGGCTCTTTGATGATTGAAAATCATCTTGCGAATTTTCAACTTTAATATTTTTTTCACCTCCCATAATTTAATAGGAAAAAATTTTATAAAAACGGAAAAAAACTTTTTTCCTTCTTTAATATTAAATTTATAAAATTTTACGGCGTCTTTTGTTCGTTATCCAATTCTAGACACAATGACATGTTGTACACCGCCCGCTTATAGAGGCCCATTCATTTAAAAATCTATATAGAATCAAGTTTCACGAGATTTTCTTAACCTCCCGTCAGGTTGTTTTAATAAAATTATAAAAAAAAAGTCGAAAACATGAGTATTCCAGATTTTCGCGTAGTTGTTGCTATTGGTATTTAATTTTAAATTTTAATAAAAAAAAAATAAATAAATATAAATAAATATTATTATTATATATAAAATCCTTTAGACTTTGGTACAACCACGTCAGGTAAAAAATAATAATTATTATAATAAATTATCTTATTATTAATAATGATTGACTAAATTTTTAATCGAATTCGTAATATTTAGGTTTCAGTTACGGTAAAGCTTTCTTTAG